AGGGAAATGTGTAGTGTATGTTTATATAACTGTGTTTTGTTCTCAAATAAAATTTTATTAATTTTTTAAAAAGACAGCTGTGTGGAAAGGGCCCCGGCTATACAAGCCAAGGAACAATGGGAGGAAGAGTTCTTCATTGGTTTTCTGTTTCTGAAACACCTTTTGCATAGTATAAGAATGGTATTTTTTCTTATTACAGGTATTTAAAACCTTAACACCTTTCAATCCTTTGTGTCTTCCCTTTGTATATTAGTTTTTCTAGGATCTTGCAAGAAACAGTGAAGGAGCTGGCTCCTCAGTGTGATGTCTCATTCATCTTGTCTGAAGATGGGAGTGGAAAGGGAGCTGCCTTGATTACTGCTGTTGCGAAAAGGATGCATACCGGCTCTGAAAACTAAGAGGATCCAACATACAGGCACGTGTGTGCAGCAGCAATATATTGTGGAAGGTCTCATAAAACCCATGGAAGATAGCTGCTCAGAAGTGGAACTCAGTTCCATAGTTTTTGCTAGCTGCATGAACAGAAAGGAGGTTTTGCCAAAACATGCAAGTTATTTTTATTGTCACGCGACCCGAGTTGCCTTATATACTTGATATGTCTGCACTGTGCCTAATGTTGTTCATTAACATGAGACAGCCAAGTCATTTAGCTATTATTTCAAAAATCAGTAATTTTTTTAGGTTCTTGTGGTTTTTTTCGGGTTATAGGGCCATGTTCTAGAGGCATTTCTCCTGACATTTTGCCTGCATCTATGGCAAGCATCCTCAGAACCTTGAGGATGCTTGCCATAGATGCAGGCGAAATGTCAGGAGAAATGCCTCTAGAACATGGCCCTATAGCCCGAAAAAACCCACAAGAACCTAGTGATTCCAGCCATGAAAGCCTTCGACAAGTAATTTTTTTTTAAAAAAAGTATTTATAAGATAATCTGTCCCTGATGTACTACTGTTTAATACTTTCTCATACATTTGAACTAGACATGTTGTAACATGGATGTAGGCATCATGTTCCCATATTGCTGGATGTAGGTCTGATATTCCTGTACCTCCTTGGTTAGATAAGTGCTAAGGCACACTTTTTAAAAACTGTAATTGTTTTTTTTAAAGAAAGCAAGACATAATAATAAATTAATGGGGTCTTTTCCCAACAAAACTTTGTCTTTAGTGTCTTTAGTTGTATTTTCTTTCAGTTTGTTTGATGCTGGATGTCAGGGAAGGGGAGTAGCTCAGTGGTAAATTTATTATTTATTTATTTACAGTTTTTATATTCCGCCCTTCTCACCCCGCAGGAGACTCAGGGCGGATTACAGTGTACACATATATGGCAAACATTCAATGCCAATTTTGACATACAAACATATACAGACATACACAGAGGCTATTTAACTTTTCTGGCCGCCAGGGAAGCTGTCGCTTTCATCGTCCATCTGCGACGCTGATGAAGCACTTCCACATTCCCCACTGGAATGTTTTGCTGGAATCTTCATAGAATCATAGAATCAAAGAGTTGGAAGAGACCTCATGGGCCATCCAGTCCAACCCCCTGCCAAGAAGCAGGAATATTGCATTCAAATCACCCCTGACAGATGGCCATCCAGCCTCTGCTTAAAAGCTTCAAAAGAAGGAGCCTCCACCACACTCTGGGGCAGAGAGTTCCACTGCTGAACGGCTCTCACAGTCAGGAAGTTCTTCCTCATGTTCAGATGGAATCTCCTCTCTTGTAGTTTGAAGCCATTGTTCCGCGTCCTAGTCTGCGAGGAAGCAGAAAACAAGCTTGCTCCCTCCTCCCTGTGGCTTCCTCTCACATATTTATACATGGCTATCATATCTCCTCTCAGCCTTCTCTTCTTCAGGCTAAACATACCCAGTTCCCTAAGCCGCTCCTCATAGGGCTTGTTCTCCAGACCCTTGATCATTTTAGTCGCCCTCCTCTGGACACATTCCAGCTTGTCAATATCTCTCTTGAATTGTGGTGCCCAGAATTGGACACAATATTCCAGATGTGGTCTAACCAAAAGCAGAATAGAGGGGTAGCATTACTTCCCTAGATCTAGACACTATGCTCCTATTGATGCAGGCCAAAATCCCATTGGCTTTTTTTGCCGCCACATCACATTGTTGGCTCATGTTTAACTTGTTGTCCACGAGGACTCCAAGATCTATTTCACACGTACTGCTCTCGAGCCAGGCATCCCCCATTCTGTATCTTTGCATTTTATGTTTTCTGCCTAAGTGGAGTATCTTGCATTTGTCCCTGTTGAACTTCATTTTGTTAGTTTTGGCCGATCTCTCTCTCATCTGTCAAGATTGTTTTGAATTCTGCTCCTGTCCTCTGGAGTATTGGCTATCCCTCCCAGTTTGGTGTCGTCTGCAAACTTGATGATCATGCCTTCTAGCCCTTCATCTAAGTCATTAATAAAGATGTTGAACAGGACCGGGCCCAGGACGGAACCCTGCGGCACTCCGCTCGACACTTCTTTGCTGGAGTCTTCTTTATGGCCTCATAAATCAGTTAATTTAGCCTCCCCCCACTTTAAGGTGGTACCTTATTTTCCTACTTGACAGATGCAACTGTCTTTCG